ACAAAAAAGCAAGACCTACAGCCGCAAATCATGTGGGAGGGAGAAAAACAGTGGGGGGGGGGGGGGGGGGTGAGTGGGAAAAAAACCCAGCAAGCTAGAAACGGATTGACAAACGATACGGTCAATTTGGTTCACGGCTGACAAATGGCAATATTTACGATCGCAGGGCGACTGATCAGACATAAATCAACAAAGCGTGAAATATGAAAGCTTTACAAGGGTGTTAAATTGCGTTGCTACGTCGAAGCCACCGAGAAACTGATAATCTCCACCGCGGGCTGCTTGGAGGGAAAAAAAAAATGCTGCAGGGGAGAGATTCAATTAGAGCTGTGATGCAGAGAGTTCTTTTGAGCATTTAAAGGAAACAGATCACAATCAGGAGACTGCGTTCAGATCTGCTGATTGCTGCGTCTGGGAGGACAAGCTCTTTATCTTGTATTTATACTGAAGAAGAGTGGCTGTCATTTGTGTTAGTCATCCATAATGTGATGATAACAGTGTTTCAGAATACATTAGGAGCACATCACGCTGTGTCTTGAGGGTTAGATCCTAGCAATATTTAATTAAAGTTTCACTAAAAAGGCCTAATTAGTGAATTAACAAGACTTCTGATGGACTGAGATCAACCTCACTGTCATTATAGGACTCAAAGTGCTTAAAGAAACCTACTTCAGTATATTAGCTTGTTAAACGTGACAATACTAGAAATAAAGCAGTGGCCTCTATGTCCTGTTTGATATTTCATACTGAAAGGACAGAAAAAAGCTCCAGTTAAAAATGGCATGACAAAAGATATGTCCTCGCATTTTAAAGCACCCCAATATTTCTTGTTAGAGTTGAGCTCTATCCGTTTGTTCTCGGCATGTGATTAGCATCCGGAGAAGTCTAAGCTATTATTATGGGCCTTTGAAATATTTTGTCTTGCAATACTTCGGGAACTCTGTAGAAAGAAGGAAAGAAAGAAAGAAAAAAAAGAAAGAAAGACACAATGATAGACGAGATACGAATGAGTTGAGAGTGTGAGCGCTGCTGCTGGCTAACTGTATGCTACTAACGACAGACGTTAGCAGATAACATTCTGTCGGTGCTAAGCTAATGAGCTATTTCACAGTTTTTTAATCAATTCTTTTTAAAACATATGGCTAGATGTTAAGCTTGTGTAAGCATAAGAACCTAATACAAACGTTTATACCTTTCAAGCTATCGGGATCTTTCAAAAGAGCATGTGCGTTCGATGACATGCTAAAATCACAGCGCCATGTAGTGGCCTGGCATGACATTTACAGCGGATTCAAGGTGTCTCGGCGATGCCGTCTAAGAGTGAAATCTTTTCCCACTCAACATCCGAAAATACCAGCAGTTTCCAGTCAGTGGTTTCGTAAATTTGACTTGAGAATAGTTCATTTTCCCATGAACTATATTCCTTACTCATCCAGATCTGGAAAACACTTACAGACTTGAATTACATACCTTTTCCAGTCTTCCCTGCCCACATATTGACCCTACAAACCTACTCCATACTGTTATATATATAAGCAACAGTGTTTTCAAAAGTTGTTACTGGAAACATTGAAGAAGTAGCCTGTCAAAGGAAAGTACAATTCTCATCAGAAAGTGACAAAAAGAAATAAATAAAAAAAATAAAAAAACCCACTTCACTACTGTGAAGAAAACATCTTTCAGCTACAACCATCCAGAAATGCAGTGGGTACAGTACACACCACTGCTGTTATCTGGAAAAAAAAAATCACATTCATCCAATGCAATTTCACAGAGTGTTCTGCCAAATCAAGTTGACACAGAAAATGTCAAAGAACTGTAACTACTCGCCGAGTCTTGACTTTGCCCTTTGTGCTGTTTTTTTTTATTTTTTTAACATGGGGCCCCTCCATTATTACCTCCTCCTCCTCCTGCCTTCATCCCGTCTCCTCTCTTAAACCTGTCACTGCCATCAGGATTGCATTTCTATTCTAGTCACGTTGATCACACCGTTAGTGATTCTGGATGACAATTATTCACACAGAGCAGAGCCATATTCAAGGCGGATCTCTCTCTCTGAAAGATAGCACTTAAAATACCTGAAAAACACAGATCTTGGCTATTTGTGCTTTTGTTTTTTTCACATTTAAATAGAGATGTGGATAATGTGGAGGGAAGGAAAAAAAAAACAAGTGAAGGAAAGACTGGGAATATTCATTTTACACTTAAGAGGCAGCCCAAACAAGCGCTGCAATTTCCATCTCTATAATCTATAACAAGTGGCTTTAATTTGGATGTTAAAGGAGAGTGTTTCCGTATGGTGTCATGGTATAGCACTGAGCAGAAACCATACAGTAACATCCCTGAGTGCGACGAGGATAATGAGGAGGCTTTTTAACCTGGCAACCTGATGAGCTTCGAGCCTGCGGAGAAAGGCTTGAAACCGTGCCCAACTTCTCAGCTTCCCAAGAGGCTTTTCAAAATTCAATAAATAACATCTGTAGGCGATGTTGGGTGCAGACCGAGCGAGTGCGTCATAACAGAGAGCGGGGCTGAACAAAGAAACCATGACGACTGCCTGGTTTCCATAGCAACTGCTGCAAGGCCTGGAGAGTATAATAGCACATCAATCACTGTCCAAAAGGAACTTCATTATCAGCAAAAAATAAACCTTTAGGATCTTTTTTACTGTTAAATTGCCGGTCAACTCACCTCAAAGCCCAGCTCTTTGGCAAACGTGGCCGCTTCCTGGAAGAGATGAAACACACACACATACACGCACACACGCACACACGCACAGAGACACACACAAATGAGCAGTTAATTACAGAGTCACAAAACAGAGCACAATGTCCAACCACAGACGTGAAGTGAAGACATCTCGTTTCCCCCTCGGCTCCTCACATGTCACATGAGAATAAGTAACCTGAGTTAGCATCGCTCTGCCAGCTCCTGATTTAATAGGCAGGCAGCCCACCCCATTTAACTATTATCAGACATCATCTCATCTTACCGCAGCAGCGTGAGATAACACTACATCAGCCTGGAGGCTTGAAACAACCACTGAAACCATGAATATGTGTTGGTATGTGGGAATCCCCCATCCTGCAGCCATTCAGCGCCTCGTATAAATAGGTCGCTTTAGACTCTGAACAGGTGCACTTTGCATACCAATACTTTTTCTTATTTAGGTTACATCGTTTCCCTAAACATGCAAACTTTCAAATGCTTTTTAGAGCACTAAATCTTTAGCTTTCAAGATGTACAGCTAAAAGCAGATACTTTGATATACCACAGCAATATACCATAACTTATTTTTTCTTTGTATGAAATTAAGTTACACTTTCCATGTCTTATGTCCATTAGGATAATCAAAATGATTATTAGTTTTGACAAATTCAGCAGTTTACATATCTCTTGCTTCCATTGAGATGTACATACTGAGTCGGAATACTATTTTATGTTCTGGCGTATTCAGGAGAGCGTTTCCACCCGGACTCTGATTGTCCAGCGGCCCTACAACTCTTCGACCCTATACAACTTTACGTGTAATTTCCAGAAGCCTAGAGGTGCAGTATTTGTCAAACACTTATATGCAAGTACACAAGATCTTGGAAAAATACTTTGTGACGATTCTGGTCGAGGGTAATAAAAAAATTCTTAAAATTCTAAAAATGTTAGAAATTGAGATTCAGAGCACAAACAAACTTTCAGATTTGTTTTAATGTAGAATAAACTACAGATTATTCTATCTTTAACTACTAGGCTTTTAAACAATGGATATTAATCTTAATAATTGTTAAGCAGAATAAAGCACTCCTGAAAAGAAAAAAAATCCCATTACATTTATAGTTTTGTATTTTAAAATGAAATAAATGTAGTCTTCAGTGTCTTGTAAACGGTTCTTTCATGACAGCAAGTGTCGGCGCCGGTTCTCCTCTTCGAGTGGAAACAGCTGCTCATTAAAGGTGATCAGTCATGTGAGGTACATGTTTGGCATGTCAGGATTTATTTACAAAAAGTGCTTAAATTGTCTGGTTTAACTCTTTGTGTACCTTACCAGAGGAAAAAGCTGTTTAATTTTTCGAAAAACAGGGAAATTGTTCTCCTACTTCTACTCAATTTCAGTCAGCTTTTTTAAAGCAAAGCTAATTATTTTTGTTAACTTAAAAGAAAGAAAAATGATATGGCTTACAGTTCTTTTATCTGCAAAATGGGTAGAGAATGTGCAGAATCAAACATGGTAATTTTAAATGCCAGTAAAGAGACGTGTGTCTGCAGGTTGACATCACTGCTTACTTCACTGGCAGCTGCAGTGTTGGGGAATATTCGGCGTGACCAAAAGCTGCCTCTTTTATCGACTGGATGCATTTCTATAATTTTATGGATCGAATTGGTTCCAACCCTGCCCCCTTCAGTCTGTATTCAGTTTCCTTTTCCAATCGATTTCTGAGCAGAAGTTCCCAGATGGTTCCATGTCACAAACCATCTGGCAGGTCAGGTTACCTTTGGTTACCAGATGGCATGTAATGGCAAAGTCAAAGTCTACAATGAGCAATGTAATCCAAATTCATGCTGTACATCTATTTTTTATTTTGTTTTGTTTTTTTTGTCAACAATCATACTTAGATCTCTGGCTGTATAAACGTGTCTTGAAACAACAGAAAAGTACAAAATGTAGAAAACACTCAAGCTGTGAGGAGCTTTTCAAATCCATTGAAATACCTACTCTCCTGCTCTGCATGCATGCTTGATGCATGTGCAACATTTTTGTGAGTTTTTGCAAATGCTTAGGTCTCTAAAAAGCTGTAAGAGTGACATGCACAATTATTGCAAGAATAAAGTTTACTACAGACACAGTTGTTAGGAAAGGAGTTTTGATTTCTCTTTGCATTAGAGAAACAATGATGATCACAAATGGAAGAAAAACGACACCCAATCTGAAAGCTACCATATATATATATATATATATATATATATATATATATATATATATATATATATATATATATATATATATATACACACATGTAAAATTACAGTTTTTGGCACATATAGCCAATCCCCACTGTGTTTGCCTCAAAACACGTTTAAATTTCTCCGTAGGGTATTAGATTGATAAGCTAGTGCTGGTGCACCCACGCAATAAACTCAATGTTTTACGAACTAAGCTGAAAATCTGGAGACTGTGCCATCACTACTTTTTATCTCTTGCAGGTTGATGCCCAAATTTAGCATTCCGGTGAGAAAAATCATTACTCTTCAGTTATTTTTAGTGGGGTTCTTGGGTGTCTTATCATTTATACAGCTTGTGCAATTGAGATCTGAGATCTCATTTACAAGAGGGACCTGTCCTGTCCCCACTTTTATTCTTTCTTTCTTTTTTTTTTAAACAAATATTTTTTTGATTTTGATTCAAAACTGCATGTACTTGTCGGGACATGCAAAGCACAGACACAAGTAGAAGGTGTAAAAATAACAATATACGTCATTTGCCATGGTTATAATAGTGTTATATGATTTACACTATTCACCTCATTCTACGTTTAACTGAAGACAGAAACAAGCTACTTCTCAGTTAGGAACGATGCCGTAAATCATGAGCGACAACCTAGTTCGCCAAGCACACTTCTGACCTCAGACGGGTCTGTAAGTTGGCTTTATGATTCTAAATAATCCAATTACGTGCAGAAGTGGGATGGGTGTTTGCGTGACCTTGGGGAGAGGTTGACATCTCGCTCCTCAAACAGAAGGGGAGGAGATGACATGGAACAATAAGGTTACAGGTCCCTGGAGGGAGCCCTCATGGCTCTCTCTCTCTCTCTCTTTCTCTGCTTTGGATCAACTTCACAGCAACAGCAATATGTCAACTCATCACCCCCACCCCACCCATCCTGTCCACAATTAGCAGATATAGTCAAAGGGCTGTTTTATAATCATTTAAAGTAACCATGTCTTCACATTTCACCTCACTTTGCCTTTTCAATCCATCGAAGGTTCAGGTCTCACATTTGTTTTCCTTTATTTATGACCACATATTGACTTTTCTCCTCAGGAGCGCTCAATCACTGACAAACGATGAGGCTTCTCGTGGAGACATGAGCGGCTTAGAAAACACCCTGTTAAAACTGTTGTATTTCACAACAAAGCATTTAAAAGAGAAACATAAATGAAGGCTGCAGCAACGATGGTGCCGCTGAGCAGCACATGGCTCTGATTCACCCTCCCTCTAGTTAGCAGCTATAATATTTGTGAGAAAAGCCTTTCGAGTGTGTGTGGGCGTCAGGAGAAAAGATAATTGAAGCAATATCTATGAGCCACATGTGTACACTGTAATCCTTTTCAGGAATTTATTAATTTCTATCAGTTGCTGTGAATTCCAACATCAGAAATATTTGTAATATAAGCTTAGCTAAACCTCGTGTATAAACACTGTATGGCAGTAAATATGTAATTACCAGGACTGAACATGCAAGCCAATAAAACAGAGCACATAGGTAATTAAAGTCGCAATTCCTTAAGGAGCTTATGGCATTAATATTCAAAAAATATCCTGTTCCAGGCTGCGCATGTTTCGCATTTGACATGTGCTTGTTTTGGTATGTTGTGGTAGACGGCTTCCAAATGACGTCCCATGTGCTTCTGCAGCTGTTGCAACAATGACAAGTGCCTTAAAGTGACATCTGGGCAGAATCCTCGCGCACTCAAAAAAAGCATCTTGTTTGTTCTGAGATTGCCGTGATTGCATGCTCGCTTTTGACGATCTGCTGCCGAGTCGGATTCCGGAGAAAGAGAGAGTCGGAGAAAGGGCCGTGGCAGATTTCAGGGCCCGCGCGTTCTCCGCCTTTTCTCCTCTTTGGGCAAAGAAGGTAAAAGATAACAAGGCAGCCTGAGTGCATGAGCCCCTCTGAAGCCGGAGTTATTATGAAGCTATCAAAATGTGTGAGATGTTGCCGCTGTCAAAGGCTTAAACAGGCAGAGGGATATTTTTAGAGACCTTAAGCTAATAATCCAGAGCCCAGTCAGAGGGGTGGAGGGGGTCTATCATTTCTTGCCAAGCAAAATGGATGTGGATATGCACACTTCATGCAAGGGCCAGTTCACAAAGCATCACCAGCCTTGACAACTGACATGAACATATTTGGCTTTGTTTGGAAACCATCTATCCATGAACAGTATCCTGTGTACGCTCTGAATTTACTCTTACTGTATTGTTCAGCCACTGAATCATATGTTACTGCATATTTTTATTAGGGATGCAATGAAATCTTGTGGTACAATATTGGCACTATATTGAAACATAATATTTATATACAGGCAAGTAAGTGTAAGCTATTCCTAAGAGCCTTGAATATGAAGCTAAGTGCTTTACACTTGAAACCTTGTCACTATATTGGATGTCCGTGAATAGCTGAATGCTAATACTTGAGAATGCTAAAAAAGCTTATAACTGCCTATTATGCCACAAATCTAAACTTATTTTAATAGTTAAAGCATCAAATATACCATAATATGCGAAACACACAACAGAAATAGTCATGGGACTACCACATAAGCTAATCGGCACCCAGCAAAATGAACGGTGTTCCTACACTGGCTGCTTTGCAAATGCCAGCCAGTTGCATTGCATCAAGGTATTTCAGCTTCCCACGCTTCATTTCATTTTGAATATTTGAAACATGCCCCTCAAATAGGCAAATTTTTTTCGAACAACTCAAGAGTCACATTCACAGAAAAATCCACGGATA